ATAGATAGATAGATAGATAGATAGATAGATAGATAGATAGATAGATAAGCAAGCAGAAAGGGGCAAGCGGTGTCTTGAAAAGCAGATGATAATGGCACAGCAAGGTTATTTATACAACTCTTGTTCTCCACTCAAATGTGTGCAAGGCCAGTACAGTTGGTCAGAGGATTGTTTTTTTTCTCAAGATCCCAGGACCCACAAGAAGATCTCAGATAACATACCCTGTGGGAGATGCATAATTGCTACACTGAGTCCTGAGATGATGTCCCCTAGTAGCCATTCTTTGACTGGGTAGCGTGGCAACCAGCTAAGGATGGGCAGGAATCGAAGTAGCAAGCTCTTTGCAGTTGATCCTGAGCACCTGGAAAAGATGTGTACAAAGGCCTTTGCAAGAGGAAAGCAGGGTCTTCAATTTACATGGAGTTTGAGGGGCAATGAAAGAATTGGGAATCTGTTTCATTCCATGAGGTAAATTTGTGCATCACTCCCAGAATCTATGATAGATGTGCACTCAAGGAGAAAAAACACAACAGCCATGCCACATTATCCTGCAGTAAAAGATCAAATTCCAGAGTTGCAATATTGGAATTCTGGACATTTTGATGACTAAAAGCAGAGGTGGAGCTGCTCCACCTACTCCTAACTAATTGTGTGCAACAAACAGCCATAACCTTTCCTCCCCTTTCCCTTTTTTAAAATTATTCTAAAAGTGCAACAGAGCATGCAGCTGTTAGGCATGATTTTGTTTCAGCCCTTGGCAAAAAATAGTTAGCTACAATCCAAAGAATCATATTTTTTAAAAAATAATGGGGATGGGGAGGGGGAGGGGAGGGGAGGGGAGGAGCTGAACAGTGCTAGTTTCCAGGTGCTGGCCCATATGGGCACTTCCACCGAGGGCAGCTTCATCTCTTCACACACTTTCCCAGACCTGTTAGGCAGCAAAGTTAGCCAGAGAAATACAATAATTATGAGAAGCAATGAAATATCACCAATAAAGTATAAAGAAGTACATGAAGAAAGTTAATCAATGTCTAGCTCAAGTCCTTTCAAAGTTACTTTCTTTTGTCTTTTGTGTAACGATGGAAGCTTCCTTCTGGAGAGGTACAAAATTGCAATCTTTGTTGAGGCAAAACAGACCAAACAACTAGCTTATTTAATATATATGTAGAGAACAGTTACCACATACCCTTAATTTACTGATGAATATGAGCTGAATATGGGGACAAGGGAACCGTGTTATCTAATTTAGAAGGGAAAAATGTAGAAGTGGCATTCAGCAGGTTCTGACCAGTTCTGGAGAACCGGTAGCAGAAATTTTGAGTAATTCAGAGAACCGGCAAACTCCACCTCTGACTGGAGTTTTTACAGTATCCTTCCCCTGCCACGCCCACCAAGCCACGCCCACAGAACCGGTAGTAAAAATATTTGAATCCCACCACTGGGAAAAAGGGTTTCTCATTTGTCTATAACTGCAAGAAAGAAGATTGAAGTTGCTTCTTCAAATATTTTCTTTTTTGCTTTTTATTGTTATCAACATCTTTTTCTCTTTCTTCTTTCTTCCTTGTTTCAGATTTTTTTAACTTTGTAAAACAAATTGCATATGTATGTGTGTGTGTATATGTGCACGTGCACACACATATACACGCATGTATATATAATGCATGAGAAAAATCTGATAAGTTTGAATGTTTGCAGACAGAAGAAGCCTTGCAAGTGGGCACTAAAGAGAAAGCTAAAACCTTTTTCCATAGATCAAAAATCCCATCTCATGTCCTCTTATATACAAGCTTTCTAATTATTTGGATGTACCATGTGATTATTTTTCTGAGGCACACTCTCTGTGGAGCACAGCCTGGAGCATAACGTTACAGTATGAAATATTATATTAGTGTTCCCTGTTCTAGTCAGTCCACAATGCCTTCTTTTGTGATGTTTACACTTCTCTCCAGTTCAGTTTTTTGTTTTCTCTACCCCATGGTCAAACCTATTCTAGAAATAGTTTCTGTTTGTACAAACTTCAAAGTTTCCCCAAATTGGGGAGGTCTTGAGAACTGGGATAGTTTAATCACCTAAGCAATAGCACAAACGTCTAAACATAAAAGAGAGACCAAAGAGTTTCATGAATGGGAAACCATTTATATGCTGTAGCATTGGCATATTGTTCTTTTGTTCCCTCAGAGTTGAGGGCAATGTGTTCTTTTGTCCTTGATTTATGACCATAATTGATCCCAGGATACTGTGACAGTCATAAATATGAGTCAGTTGCCAAGTGTCCAAATTTTGATCACATGACCATCGGGATGCTATAATGATGGTAAGGGTGAAAAATGGTCATGTCATTTTTTTTCAGTGCTGTTGTAACTTTGAACAGTCACTAAGTGAACTATTGTAAGTCAAGGACGCCCTGTATTCTGTCATTATTTCTCTCCAAGCATCTGCCATTTAGAAACAATAGCTTACTTTCCTCCTGTTTCCCAAGGCCCTTTCTCAGTCATCGTTTCATAATCTAAAACATGCTTTCCTGATTGTTCATGCTATGAGTATGGATTAGCAATACTTTACCTTATTTTTCTGATCTGGGTGGAAAGTGACACCCGTGAAATCTGTTTTCTCAGGCCGATCTTCTCTAGCTCAGACTCACTCAGCACTTCACCTGCCCTTTCTGCCTTGGAGTGACCTGGCTCTCCATTTGCCTCCATGCCCACTGCAGCGATTCTACCAGTTTTGTGGTTCAGCCTTGGGACTAGGAAGAAAAGATGAAGCACCATCAATACTAAGCCTGTGAGGCTGACATTAATTTAGCGATGACTGGTGTTGCCTATTGTAGTTATGTATGTGTGTTTGTGTTTACACAGCCATGTATTTTAACAAACCCATGTAGATAACAGATAACAGATAATCAGAGTTGGAAGGGACCTTATAGGTCATCTAGTCCAACCCCCCGCCCAAGCAGGAGACCCTACACCATTTCTGACAAATGGCAGCCCAGTCTCTTCTTGAAAGTTTCAAGTGATGGCGCTCCCACAACTTCCAAGGGCAAGCGGTTCCATTGGTTTCTATGTGTTTAATGAAGCCATGTGTTTTTAACACAGAATAAAAATGTGATCTTTTTTGGGGTGGGTGGGGGGGAGTTGTCATTTTCTATTCTGAGTTCTTAAATTTTATCTTAGACAACCAGAGTTTGCATTGCAATATAATTTAAGCAAAGGAATAAAATGCATAGTAAATATGATCTGCTGGTTTGGGGAAAAAATGTAACCAGGATCCTTGAGTTCTATGTTGAATCTTTTAAAATAAAGGGCTCCATTAAAAAAAGAAAAGAACCTGACATTTTAAAATCCTGAGACATGTCTTAAAGCAACTGGTAGACATCCAAGTAGTTATACTGTACAAACAAAATGGCTCCTGAGCAGAAAGGTTTTTTTAAAAAGAAAGAAAGAAAGAAGAGGGAGGGCTGAGCCATGCTTGGGGCTACTGGGCCATTGCCAATAGAAACCACTTATATAGCTCCCTAAGTCCAGGAAAGGATGATGTCATTGTTCTCCCATCTCCAGCTCAGGGCAAATGCCCCTGCCTTGGGTTTTCCAGGTCTGATTCAAAACTGCCCTTGGCTGACCCCAGCTGTCTCAAACCCTTCAGAGAAAACAGTCTTTGTTCCATTCTAGTGACAGCCTCACCTCCAACTGGCTGCAGTGATTTTATTTCCCCCACCCTCTGAATGGTCACTTCTCACCCAATGGGAACTCTGCCCAGCTTGGGGGAGGCATGTTCTCCTTGCTTTGCCACCTCCTGTCCTTCCGTGCCTTTTGCTGTAAAATACAACTTAGTGGCATTACAACTTTTGTTCCTATAAAGCTTAACTGCCATTTCTTTTGTGCCACAGAGTTCACTCGGACTACAGAAGATCATAAAAAGGAAAGTATAATCAGTTATTTTTGATTTGTTTGTTTATATCCCACCTTTATTGTTTTTATAAATAGCTCAAAAGAGCAAATATATAAAGTGCTCCTTCTGCTTCCTATTTTATCCACCACAACAACCCTGATATTCTGTTGATGTGATCATTGTAGCATCAGAACAACAATGCTGTCATAAAGAGGGGGGGGGAGCATAAGGAGTCTGTTTTACTGTCAGGTAATGTGGGAAGGGGCTGTGATAACATCTTTGTGGGCAAGCATCTGGGAAAGCAAAGGAAAGGTGCACAGACTAATAGCAGGGGCCCTGTAGGCCATCCCATACAGAAGCTAGTCAGTGTGGCTTCCCTTTCCTACCTGGATGGGAAAGGCAAGAGGCAGAAGAATGATCAATCAGGTCTTGCAATAGCCATGATCTGGACTGAGCTCAGTTTGGCCCAACCCAAACTGAGCTCAGTCTCTCTACCCATCTCTCTCCCTCCCCTTTTCTCTCTCCCTCCCTCCCTCCCCCCTCTCCTCTCTCTCCCTCCCCCCTCCCTCTCTCTCTCCCTCCCCCCCACTCTCCAACTATTTCTGGAAACTAAATGCCATGCAAAGGAAGTTTAAGGCATGGCAGAAAGGACAAATGACTAAATGCATAGACTCTGGGCTCTTAATTAAGGCATTTTGGTTTTCAAACTTTCCCTGAGCATTTCAGGAGCAAGGCAAGTGGAACTACAAGAAAGAAATACAATCTGCAGGTAAAAGAGGTCTTCTAACAATTGTCTATGGAGTTTCTCAGTCATCCAGGTCATGGTTGCCCCCAAAGTGCTTTTTTCAAGAGGCGACTGGGGTTTCTGGTTTTTATTTGAAGATGTTTCGCTTCTCATCCAAGAAGCTTCTTCAGCTCTGACTGGATGGCTTGTAGCAGTTCTTAATGCCATGAGCATCTGCTGCCCGGGTGGTGCTGGTCTGGTAGTAGTGATGGAACCTGATAGCAAATCGGGCCAGAGTAGGCAAGGGAAGGCATTTAATTCCCCCACCTCCACGCTCTGCTGAAGACCTGAGGGAACAGCTCTCTTTTGAAATAAGAGTTTATTTTGAAGAGATATTTTTCACTTACAGAAAATCTACAGAATTTTACCAGAAACAAATATCAACTTCAGAAGAGAGATTTTCCCTCTTCCAAAAGCAAGCAAAGAATGGGTTATCAGATTCTAAGCAGGGTCTCAATTAATATTCTGATCTCATTACTTATTACCTTCATTCCAAGCTGAGATGCATTCCTGTGAATATGTGGTGTTTGACCAGATCCAGGAAGCAAAAGGGAACAATCAATATGATTAAACATCATAGAACTCACGGGAGAAAATCATTTTGAACATTGAGAGGCAAAACATCTCCCTTTGAAAATGCAACCATAAGGCAACCTCCCCACTTAAAAAGTACATCCTTGCTGTAATTCCTCTAGTGCATGGGAACTTTATTATATTCCCTCTGGGCAATTTTTTTTTTTAGAACATATTGATTATGCTTTGTGAACATGTCAAAACCTAACTGAGGAAGCCATCCTAAATAGAGGCATTTCACCGATCCATTTCACTCTGCCTATGAGGAAGCAGAAGTCACAGCACCTGGATCTTGTTCCCTTTAGGAGCTGCTTCTACCACCTAATTTCTTCTGTACACCTAAGGAGTTTGCTGCATTCAGATGCTCCCTTACTCCAGGGCCAGTCTTGAAATAGGTTTTTATAGCCATTCCAATTAGCTTCTGTGTGTGGGGTGGAGACATCACCATCTCCCGGATTGCATCAGGAGATGAGAGCTTCAGAGTTACATGGTAAGTTTAAACTTCCCAGCTCAGTCCTCTCTATCCAAGCTGGAGATTCTAGAACACGATGGAGGACATTTGGGAGCTGAGTGGGTCAATTGCTCACCCATATTTTCAGACTCTTTGTAGCCTAATCTCTGTTGCCTTCAAGAGCAGCATGGATCATCATGGTAGGCATCAGTAAAAATGTCAAAAGGAATAGAAGATGGTTCGATGAAGGAAATTTTCCTTTCCTTTCCTTTTTACCTTTTCCCATAATAATTATCAGTCAAGAGTAGAAAAATCTGCTACCGGTCTTTGTTCTTTTTTTGCCAGAGGATTAAAAAAAAAAAGATTTTATATTTTCTCACTAAAATACCATCAGCTGAAGTTTTACCATGGATGGCTTTTAATTCTCTTAAATATGAGTGCACAAACATCCTTCCTCAGAACATATGCAGCTGCATTCATAAAAAATGCAGGCCTTTATATGATGTCAAAGCACCATCAGGCTCCAACTACTCTTTATCAGCTCTCTCTTGGGGCTTTACAGAGGTTATCCTTATTACAAAAAGTGGGAAACGCGTTATCTCTTGCCGCTTTATTGACTCAAATAGTTGACTCGATAAGGCTATACCCATCCTGCATTTCTCTCTCTCTCTCTCTCATGGTCAACAATCCTCTATTTGCTTTTTGCATCACATAACAATTACCAAATGTAGGTGTTGTGCTTTAGGACCCTTCACAGGAGGAAGGTGATATTACATGCTGGGACTGTATTATTTGAGGGTATATATTATCCAGACCTTTGGTCTGGTTTGGGTTCTATTGATTCTTTTTATCTAATACAAAGAGCTGGGATTATCTCCAGTTTCCTTAAGTAAAATCGCCCATTGATCTATCTCTTGTTTCCACTCACTAAAACATTAAGATATTTTACTAAGGAATATGATTTTGACTGGAAACCAAGTTCACTTTAAAAACTGGATTTATGTTTTGAAAAAATGGAAGCCAACAATTATTTTCTTATTTCAATCCTGGAAGCCAAAATTTCCTATCATTCTAGTACTTGAGCAGATTGAATGTTCATGTTTGCAGACCTTCCTCTAAAACTGTAATCTGATAAGCTTGCTCACTAGCGACATTAGGGTTTTTTTTTAAACATTCCTTTTAAAATTATTCTTAATCAATTTACTGAAAAAGGGATTTGCAACTTGGCAACTTGTTCATTATTTTGTAAACCTTCCTAAATCTTAAACATGCCTTAGTTTTGTCAGGCTTGCCTTAATTTGGATATTGTAATATTTTCTTTCTCATGGTCAAAATTGTTTTTGCTTTTTCCTGAAGGTCTCTCATGCTACCGTGTTTCTCATATAATAAGGCTGGGTCTTATTTTTTTTTTGAGCCCCGAAAAAATGGCTAGGCCGTCTTTTTAGGGGTGACTTAATTCCCCCCCCCTTGCATCTTTGGGCGGGCGGCGACGGCTTGGATGTTGGCCACGGCGTTGGTGGGGCACTTCGTATCGGGGTCAACGCAGGCAGCACCATATCCGGGTGTGCAACAAAAGTACTTCCTAACGGCAAGGCCCCCCACCATTCCCCCCCATTTCACATGTTTTAATATAGGCCTTAATTTGGGGGGGAGGGGCTTAATTTCATTTCATGCCTATAAAACATGCTGGGACTACCTATTGGGGGAGGCCATATTGTTGCGGAAACAGGGTATTTTAAAGTCACCAAGAAACACGATCCTCCTTTTATACTAGATAGTTGCTTATGCTACAAGGACAAAACTCTATATTTTAAAATTCTGTGATGAAAATTGTCTCAAGCTACCAAGGCAGAAAAGTATACCCAATATGCATTCTCTCCTCTATAATTCACTGAAATTGCTAAACAACAATTAAGGAAGAACCTATCTTACTCCCCGCGCCTTGTTCAGAAACAAATTAAATCATATTTTCATTGCCAGTAATTGCCAGAGCACAAACTGATATTTAGGAAAAAAGCCTTTGATGGCATAACCATTCTTGGCAAGCTGGAAATAACAAGGGAATGGGAGCAGGAATGATGGAGCACCTGAGACTATGGCTTGCTACAGATATAATCTAGATTGCAATATTTTGTGAATCCCATTTGTACAACATTCAACATAAGTATGCATCACAGTAAGCTTTAGAGTCAGTTCCAGCTCTTGGGACAGGTGGCCAAAAGTTCTGATTTATAGCATTAATTTTTAACATTTCTTTTATTAAACTCAAATGAAAATAATTTTAACCCTCAAAGAGCTACTAAATTGTTACCTCCATTTCAGCTCTTTACCACTATCCCAACAGAACTATTTCAGTTTTCTGTTTATTTATCTGTTAATTACAGCTCTGGCTTTTCTTAGGGGCTTTTGTAAGGGAATGTAAGGATTGTCCTCTCTTACCTGACAGATGTCACACACGACTGCTGAATTGATAACACATGTTGCAGACAGATAGCTTTATAACCCTGGGCTCTGCTTGGCTCAGAATTAATCCCTGACAATGATCTTTGAGACACCACTCCCTCCTTGCCTTAATGCCACTACACTGATCCTGTTGCTTCTCCGCTTGGTTGATGTTCCACAGGCATTTCGGTTGTGCTTTTTGGATCAGAGCCCTAGCTTAGTTGATGATTTGGCCCAGAACTCTGAGACTTTATCAGTGTCAATACAGATGGATGAAGGTGACCAAACTTGAGACGCTGCCAGTCCCCCCCAGCCCCGTACTTTTAAAGAAGATACAGGCACTGTGCTAGAAGGGGCCATCCAGATGACATTTCCCCCTGATAACGAATAACAGATAATCAGAGTTGGAAGGCACCTTGTAGGTCATCTAGTCCAACCCCCACCCCACCCATGCAGGAGACCCTACACCATTTCTGACAAATGGCAGTCCAATCTCAACATAAATCAACTTAGAAAATAACACAAAACTCAGAGTTCCATGAACCATCCACATTGTTTATTAATATGTCCTGAGTTGCAGATTTTGGATTGAAAGGATAAAGTGACCTTTTGGAAATTCATTTGGCCCTTGTCAATAACTCTTAAAGCAGCCACGTCTTTTCCCGGATAATGTAGCTCAGTGGCCCCCAATCCCTTTAGGCACCAGGGACTGCTTCCAAGGAGAGAGGGTGTTCCACGGACTGGAGGGGGTGTGGTTTCA